GTTTTTACTTCAAACGACTGCACAGTATGGTAAGGTCAGATGAACATCGTCTGTGAGAAAAAGAGCACCATGACGCAATTCACTCTGCCAGAAATTTGGAAACGTCATGTTATACTGCTTGGCATTCTCGCCAGAAGCTCCAATATGAACATAGCATTTCAAAGTGATTGGGTTTCAGTGCAGAGTCTTCGGAAAGAGTCTAATGGTGATTACGAAGGTACGGCAGCTCGGAAAAATCACTCTGATCATTCTGAGAAGAAAAGGACAATTGAATTAGTTGGTGAGGGCCCCAGACTCAGCACGAATGGCCTACATCAAGTGCACCGAGTAGGTAGCGCTGCTCTGGGTCAAGTGAGTGGATGTTGGAAGACACTGTGTCTGGCAACAGAACCCTGCACCATGTCACACAAGCAGGAGAACCCAGTCATGGCTGTCAGACAACTTCTGCGACCACATCACCCCTTACATCTGGCCACCTGATTGCAAGACCATTGATTATTATGTGTGTAGGTGCAGTTTAGCGAGAGACCAACAAAATTCCTTGTAACACCAAAGATGAACGGAAATGAAGGATTATGGCAGCATTCACCAACTTAAACAAGGAAACTGTCCAGAAGAGTTACAAGAGATCCCGAAGTCTTCTGGAGGCCCTGGTTGAAGCCAATGGCCATGGAATTGAATAAATTTACTCTTTAGTATTAGAAGATATTTTTGTGTAATTTTGGTAATGCGATGTCAACGTTACTTTCATTTTTGCGTAAATCAGACGACAATTTATCTATCGCACCTTGTATGGATTATTTAATGCCGAAACTTAAATATTTCGAACGTAAGTGAATGCCTTCAATTACAGATAAAATGTATTGTTTCTCATTTTACTATTGTTGCAGTTTTTTGGGTCCGATTTTACTCGTGAGCCAGTCAAAATGAGCTGACTCATTTTATAGTCCACGAATAGAAGGTTTAACCAATCAGAAAGCTCAAAATATTCAATCCGACGTGTATAAAGGCAGCCATTTTGTTTTTTCTCCCAAAACACATTGAACACATTACGGACTTCACTGGATTCCATATTCAGAGACTACGGCAAACATGGTCAACAACTATAAATAAGTATTGCTGGTATTTTTACTATAGAAATGTATTTCCTTACTTTCATAGTGTTTAAATTTTGTTTGGGGGTATACTGTTTGCCCATATCGGGGACCATAACAGGTGCTACTACCAAGGGTCAGGGTGGTCCTGGGAACAACAGTATTTAAGAGGTGTTTCCACGCTCTTCAAAATATCCAGTCTCCCGATCAGAGGCCTTGCTGACGGACATAGTTTATCGTCATACCCAGGACTAGCCAGCTTGAGGGAATGGATGGCGGAACAAAGTTTAGGAGAGGTAACAAAAAGACAAGTTGCTACAAAGGACAGGAAATTGTGGAGAGCCATCAGCGCCAACGGCCCGAAGGGACACGACACACATTGAAGGCAGGAGAAACTGCGAGTAACCTAACCTAACCTAATTTCTTTACTGTTGCTAACGCATTGTCCAGTGCATTATTATTTTTGATGAATCAACTAAGCAGAACATGTGACTTTTAAGCTTATTAAATCTGTGTATTCCATAACCTGTATTATTTAGATCGTTTATGAGAGGCTTTAGTGCAGTACTGAATAAAAGGTGTGACAGAGAGTTTATTATTATTATAGTTCTTGTCTCTCCCATCGTTAGTGCGCACGGCCTTTAGGCTCTAGTTGTTTTCTTGAATAAATAAAAAGAAAGACAACCAGGCGTCTCCTACTAATACCTCATGTTGTTTTCATCGTGAGAAAATGAATAAAAATAAATAAATAAATAAATAAATAAATAAAGAAAGAAAAAAGAAAGAAAGAAAGAAAGAAAGAAAGAAAGAAGCGTTTAACGTCTCCTACCAATACCTCCCGAATAATGGACTATTCCGTTTTGATCGCTTGGAAAAAGGGGAAAGACACAAATGGTTTCAATTAGAAAAATAAATAAATAAATAAAGAAAGAAAGAAAAAAGAAAAAAGCCTTTAACGAAATACCTCATAAATAATGGAATTCCGTTTTGAGAAAAAGGGGAAGAAAAATGGTTTCAATTAGAAAAATAAATAAATAAATAATAAATAAATAAATAAAGAAAGAAAGAAAGAAAGAAGCAAGCCTTTAACGTCTCCTACCAATACCTCATAAATAATGGACTATTCCGTTTTGATCGCTTGGAAAAAGGGGGGAAGACACCAAATGGTTTCAATTAGAAAAATAAATAAATAAATAAATAAATAAATAAATAAAGAAAGAAAGAAAGAAAGAAAGAAAACGAAATACCTCATGAATAATGGAAATCGAAAGAGGGGAAAGAACCATATGATTTCAATGAGAAAAAAAAAAAAAAAAAAAAAAAAAAAAAAAAAAAGAAAGTAAAGTAAGAAAAGAAAGAATCAAACCTTTAACGTCTCCTGCCAATACCTCATGAATAATGGACTATTCCGTTTTGATCGCTTGGAAAGCGGTGAAAAAGACACCAAATGGTTTCAATAAGAAAAAAAAGAAAGAAAGAAATATAAAATAAAAAAAAGAAAAAAAGTAAGAAAGAAAAGAATCAAGCCTTTAACGGACTATTCCGTTTTGATCGCTTGAAAGAGGGAAAAAGACACCAAATGGTTTCAATGAGAAAAAATAAAAGAAAAAAAAAAAAACGAAAAAGAAAGAAAAGGAAAAAAAAAAAAGAAAGTAAGAAAGAAAAAAAGCAAGCCTAACGTCTCCTAAAGGGACTATTCCGTTTTGATCGAAAGGGAAAAGACACCAAATGGTTTCAATGAGAAAAATAAATAAATAAATAAATAAATAAATAAATAAATAAAGAAAGAAAGAAAGAAAGAAAGAAAGAAAGAAAGAAAGAAGCAAGCCTTTAACGTCTCCTACCAATACCTCATGAATAATGGACTATTCCGTTTTGATCGCTTGGAAAGAGGGGGAAAGACACCATATGATTTCAATGAGAAAAAAAAAGAAAGAAAGAAAAAAAGAAAGAAAGTAAGTAAGAAAGAAAGAATCAAGCCTTTAACGTCTCCTGCCAATACCTCATGAATAATGGACTATTCCGTTTTGATCGCTTGGAAAGCGGTGAAAAGACACCAAATGGTTTCAATAAGAAAAAAAGAAAGAAAGAAATATAGAAATAAAAAAAAGAAAGAAAGTAAGAAAGAAAGAATCAAGCCTTTAACGGACTATTCCGTTTTGATCGCTTGGAAAGAGTGGAAAAGACACCAAATGGTTTCAGTGAGAAAAGAATGAAAGAAAGAAATGACGATAAAAGTGTTTAACGTCTGTTTCAGTGAAATCGAAAAGTTATCCATTTCAAATCTTTTCATTTGTACCCCCTTACTTCTTAAAATAACGACCAGCATTCATATTTATGATTGTTATTGCAATATTGTGCTAAATTTGTTAAGCTCAAATATTTAATGATGCGGTAAGGGAATTTCTACGGATATTTTATTGTCGTTGAACTCGCCGTGTATTTACTTAATCATTAACTTAGTTAAGATTCATCAGAATATTAAAATAGGGAAGCCGTGAAATTTTCACGGGATAAAATTCATTATTATTATTATTATTATTATCATCATCATTATCATTATTATTATTATTATTATTATTATTAAGAAATATTTTGTCAAAAGCAACTGCAATTTAGGCGAATATCTTAAGGCACAAATTCTAAAATATATATCAGGAACCCACCGACCTTTCAACTTTTAAAACGCACGACTAATAAATCAACCAACGGAAAATGTCTAGATGAACACATCCCATCATGTTACTTGCGTTTTAGTTTCATTCCATTCATATTGGTTGAATTTCATTCGTTTTTGAGAGCCAATCATGAAGTAGCATTATCGTTATTTATTTCTTTGGGGCTGCCGTTTGAAACAATCATTTACTAATTAGCTGGTCTGTGACAAAATGTAAAAGAAGATTTTCTTCGGAAATTACTGAAAAGCTTTTCTCGGATTGTGAACAGAACTCATTAACATAAATAATTAACATAATGAGCATTCGACGAGAAGAATAAATTAAAATTATTGTTATTAAAAAAAACAAAAAAACAACCTGGGGAGGAATAGGCTCAGTCAGGTTATTTTACTTTAGACATAACCATTTCTGTTATAGCTGCAGTACATGCGATGCGTCTATGACAGGACTCCTCATTTTATTTTATTGATTTTTGATTCGCACACACAATATATATTGCAAAGGACCGTGTGGGTTAAGTGTGCGTTTATTTCCTGCTAGAAGAAGGTCCACTACAAGAACATGGCGGACTCAAGTTGAGTCCAACCGAAGAGATAAAGAAAACAAACAAGACCGATATATATATGTCAACAAATATATGTATTATACAACAATTTTACGAGTAACATGGACATCAACATTTGTGTTTATGTGTGAACGTAAAGAGTTTGTATTTTGGTGAATCTTCGTACGTACGTGTATGTGTGTTTAACAGCGTTTTCCCACAAGTGGGGAGACGCTATCTTCTAAGAGAGCTTACATTGTAGATGTGTTCGCTGAAATGAAGAGTACGAGGCAAGAAGTCGCCCAGTATTTATAGTGTAGGGAGAGCGCCCCCTAGTGAACAATTAGGGAATTAAGAAGAAGCTAACTCCGACAATATAATGTTGAAATTTGCTATGTTTATAGAAGATCAGTTAACATCAAAGATGGAGCGTTTAGAGATAGAAACAATGTGAACGTAGGGATCAACACTGCACGATGACTGTCAGTTTCACGCTTCTGTTCGATCTTCAGATCAAGTGCCATTACTCTTTTAACGGATTCTCTATATAGCGTGTTGTGTATATGAGTAATGAGAGAATTGAGCAAAGTTGGGGGGTGGGGAGGAGAAAACCCACCCTTGGGTTAATTCTGAGTTTTATTTTTCCCCATGATTTATAGAAAATATATTTGTTGCTACCGGCAA